TAAATTTTATCCAGTGATTGATCAACTTTAAAGGGATATGGATGGATATGTATGTTAAAGTGGACATGACAAATGTACTGTATAATGCACTGCGGGGTTGTCAAATCTACCTCGGGATTTAAATGTCGCGAAATGTCTTTTAAAAAAAGACTTCAACAGTGAGATAAGCGACGAAACTTTAAGGTATTTTACAAAGAATTGCCACTTTGTTTAACTTTAATTATTTTCATATTAGTGTATACAAACCCAGGTAATTTGTGTGAATTAAAACAAAAGTAGTATTTCTGTTACCAACACTTGAGAAGAACATTTTTTCCCAGAAGGTACAGTTAACAACTCGTAAAAATGCTTTAAAATTTTTAAGAGGCGAAATTTTACAAGACATGATTTGAAAACGTATTTATTTTGTTTTTTATGTTTTTATTTCAGATAGGTCGAGGAATTTTTATGTTGTCATTATATTTAGTTTTTACGGCGGATTCAAAATTTTAAGTCATGTAAATCATTATGTCAACCAATAACCCAAATGTTTAATACTTAAATCATCTTTGTGCAAACTTTTCTATAGAAAAAGGTACTTTGAAAACATTAGTATATATATTAATGTTCCAAGATTACCCAACTTAATATTTTTTATATTACTAAATGAGTGTCAACAAAATATGCTCAGCGATAAAATCTTAATAGAATAAAAATCTTATGCAAAATAGCTGAATCTTGAGATAATTGCGATATACTTAACATAACAAAAAATATGTGGATTTCTAGGTCGACAGATTCATATATAATTATACACTATTCTGTGGTGGTTATAAGCAAAAAAAATCTCATTCATATTATGTAATTTGACATAAAGAAGCTCTCCAATTAATTAAATAACATATGTTTACACATTACATATGTGTACCCATAAAAATTATAATTATACCTATAGGTAGATAATTAAATGATTTTCAAAAATAGATCAATAAAACCCACATCTGTCATTTTGCAAAAATTCTATAAAAAAATTTATTTTATACCTTAAATTTAATTTGGTCGAATTTTACTTTAGATAGTTGGTATCACAGTCATTGGTTTAACAGTTAATGTCAAAATCGATTCGCCATGCCGTCCTTAATTTACTTATTTACAATAAGCGGCTGTTAATGTTAAAAAAGAAAAAAAGGATTTTCTTTGGTGTTAAATAAAATTTATTGCCAGAAAAGTACTAGAAAAATCATAAAAATATTATAACCAATATGCAAAATATTATGCTATTTAAAGTATGGCCAACCTATAAAATAAAAATTTTGGGTGGGATAAAGTATCTCATTACAGCACCAAAAGCGGTGTTATAAAGAAGTCATTATGAACGCAAATAGATAAAAAATATTATGCAATGGGAGTAGATAAAATGTTTTAAAATATCGAAAAAAATGGGTTTTTATCAAACCTATTTTATTTAATTTTGGTAGCTTAATGTAAGTTTTTTTTACGTTTCGAATAATTTTTTTTTTAATTTTCTATATTATAAAATTTTGATATTTATTCAATTATATCTTATTTTAATATATTATTATATCCTAGGTAGTAGGAAAATATAACCGCAATAAATTTAAATTCCTAATTAATTCTAATAAAATCTATTAACCAACCAATTAAAACATGTCGTAGGCTATAATTACAACTAAATTATTATTATTATTAATTAGTTAATAGGTTTTAAATAAATATAATTGTAAACAAAAGAGAAAATACAGAAACAATCTACATTTTCATATATATTTTTTTAGTAATTTACCAAAATAATTTAAAATTCAAATATACAAAATGTAGTACTTTATTTATTCTATTTTCTATGTTTTTTAAATAAATAAAAATCTACATATTAATAATATTTTTTTACATATTATCTCTTGAATAATGAGCACTTTAAAAAAATATTTTACTAATTTATTTTCGCTACCTAGATAATTTAAAATTCAAATACAAAAAATTATAATACTTTAGTTTTTCTATTTTCTATAAATAATTTTTTACCTTAAAAGAAAATTATACAAATTACAGCAGGTGATCTTAATTTTAAAACAATACAAAAGGGGCTCAAAAACAGTTTTTTCACCTGTTAAAATTTAATAGGTTATAAGAATCTAGGTAGAATTTAAAAACATTAAGTTTTTTGCAAAAAAAGTCTATACAATTTATTTCATTTCAGTTTGTTCGTTTTCAGTCGTTTATATAAGTATTACCTATGTAATAAATTAAGTATAATTACCTTCTACCTACAAGCAGATGCTATACCCTTTAATTTAATTTAATTTAAATATATAATTTAAAAAATTGTACAATAAAATTTAAATATTTTATTTATTAGATATTTCGTATGAGGCGCCGTTTGTGCCATAATTATAAATAAAAAAATATGTTAATATAAAACAATATTTTAAAAATATATAAATGTAAATCAAAAATTTTAAAATATAATAATATAATAATATGCGTAAATATATTTTATCAATAAAATTTATATATAAATATAAATATTATATATATATACATATATATAAATATATATTATCACACAAAGTTATTTATATTTGCTTAACCGTTATCATTTATATTTTTAGCAGTTTATCCATATATATTTTTAGCATGTGCCATAATATAAAGTTGGTTGCATACGCAGCGGGCGCTAACTAATGAAGTTGGCGTCTTTTCACATTACGAGTGGCAGCACTGGAAGGACATTTCAACTGTCAAAGTTGTTCATGTTTAAACAAAAGTGATTTTAAAACACTGTTTTGCGTCATTTTGCGTTTTCGTGAGGTTGTGGCGAGTTTTTTTATTAGGTTTATAATATAAACTTTATACCATAAATTTTATAATACAAAAGGTGCGGTCGTTGTCGTAATATAGTTGTTATATTACTTTAATTAATACACTGTACACGTTAAACATAGTTTATTAAACAACAATATTAGAGAACACGTTGACATCTGTCTGACAAGTATTTGTTAAATCATGGCTATTATGACACCTCCCCTTTTACAAAACTAACTAAATCTTTAATACATAACAAAATCCCTAAACCTATGGGGTATTTTTATGTCTCTCTTATTACTAACTCTATCTGACACATTTGAACTAGTATTAAGTCGTTGAGTTATAAATCTGATTTTGGGAATTACAAATTAAGAATATGGAGGTTCAACAATATTTTGCACAATTAGTTGATGATGTAGGCCAAATGGAAGACCTAATAATGCAGAATAATATTGATATTCGACTTCTCGAAGAAGGTGCTGTTAAATTGGAGAATCACTGCTAAACTTTTGCTGTCTTTATGGGTATTTATCAAGCTATTGATGCTGGAATTCTTCATAATTTAAACAAAGCTTATGGAATAATTTGGAATTTATATTATACTGTTGACTGAACGTTTTATCCAAAGAACACCTTTGCCTTATATCTATGAATTGAACCAATGTATGTAACACGCCACAAACATACAGGTATCACGAGAACGCAAAAGTTTTGCGGCAAAACACAATACAAAACGCTTGTTGCACTTTTGTTTTAAAAATGTGACAGACTGTCACTGACAGTTGAACTGTTCTTCCAGTGCTGCCACTCGTAATGTGAAAGACGCTAACTTCATTAGTAAGCGCCCGCTGCGTATGCAACCCAGTATATATTATGGCACATGCTAAAATATATATGGATAAACTGCTAAAAATATAAATGATAACGGTTAAGGAAATATAAATAACTTTGTGTGATAAAATATATATAAATAAATTTTATTGATAAAATATATATCTCAATTTATAATTTTATTTCTTTAAGTAATATTTTATAATTTTTGATTTACATTTATATATTTTTAAAATATTGTTTTATATTTATTAATTTTTTATTTATAATTATGGCACAAACGGCGCCTCATAATTTCGACCTTTCAAATCATAAAAATTTAAAATGGTCATTAAGTATTAAAATTGCTAAAATTTATGAGAAAAAAATTATTGTGGTGTCGCTATAACAATATTATTTGTTTAAATAAATTGGCTAATTATTTAAATTATATAATAATGGTCATTTAATTGAATAAATAATGCGAATGAAAGTTAAAAATATTTAAATTGATTTGTAGGCAGAAATTCTTACCAGCCGAATTTGGTATAATTTAATTAGGTTAAAATATAGTATGTGGCTAATGGGGTAATGAATATTCCATCATTGTGCTTGATAATGGTAAACACATAAATCATGGATCAAATCTGAATACTAAGTTGTGAAATGTAAATAAATAAAAATTAAAGGTAAATAATGATTCTATTTGTTGAAATAATATCCGGATTGGGATTTATCTTGTTTTTTTTGCCTTAAAAATATTTGAATGGTAAATACCGGATGTCCAAAAGATTTTTTTTTACTTCTCTATTAGTCAGCTGCAACTTAATGGCGTTTTAGTCACGGAATAAAGTTTGCAACAGTTGCTTTTGGGCTTTTTAGTCACGGGCTGAAGTTGGCGTTCGTCGTAGAAAAAGAATGGTATGTAACTCGTTTTTATTTCATTATTTAGTAAATAATGAAATAAAAACGATAATATTTACCCTCTTACCAAATATATACAGTGTGTTTCATTTTGAATGGCGACAATTCTGTATTTATTTAAAAATAGACCGATTTAAAAAAAAATAATTGTAGTACTCGAAATATGTTATTTAAATGGCCCTCTATGATTGATAGAAGGTTTCCAAAAATGTCAAAAGTTATCAGGATAGTCAAAAGGTAATTTGGAAAAAAATAATTTTTAAGCACAAAAAATTCATTTCTTTAGGTAAGTTAACTTTTGTTACTATTAACGTCAAAAATTATAACTAATAATGAAAAAATTCAATATATTTTTTTAAATTTTATGTAATTTCATATTTAATATACCTACATACATAATATTTTTATTTTTGCACTACATGCATAGTTTTGATTTAGACCTAATCTAAATTTTTTTTTACCTCGTTCAAACGAAGATGGTATCCAAAAAACTCACAAAACCCACTCAAAAACCTCAAAAAAGTCCCGTCTCACAAACATAGCAGCTCCAAACTTTTTGTACCTCGGTTATTCGTATTATGAACCACGAATACAGAGAGCAGCGGTGCACCTTAACTGTAGTACCTGTGTAGTTTAAACCGACTGCAAACTGAGTCGAGTCGGCTGTGGCTTTGCAGGTACCCGCCGGTCGTAGAGCCCCGTGCAAGAAACAGCAGAGCTCGAAAAGAATTCCTTAGGTGAGGGAGGGAGTGCACTGACAGTCGACTGTTTTTGACCTGCCGAGGGTCAAAGGATGGGGTGCACCGCAATGGCAATTTCAAAGATTATCTTTGATGTGGATAAAATCATACAAAATTCATTATCGGTATTAATACTTATTTAAAGGATATAGGGAGTTGAATGCAAGAACCAACCTATACTTATTAGGATATAATTTCAATGTTAGGTGCAAGGCTAAACTTATTCTTATTTCAAGAAAAACTATCATATTATTACCTTAATTTTTCTTAAAACCGTAAAATATTTAGAGGACATATAATTTTTAATCAATACGAGGTGTGATATAACGGGAATTGTTAAATTTCGCGGGTTCGGAGGGTCCGGTTTTCATAAAATTTTCTTTATTATGTTGGTATACATGCCCCTGAAGTATGATAAAAACTCTAGCTGTTTTCATTGTTTACTTTGTCTGTGGCAGCCGCTAAGGTTAGACGTGTTTTATGAGCTCGGCGATTTTTCGTTCGTTAAAAGAAATGGATCAAAGCATTTGTATCCAATTTTGCTTCAAAAATGAAATAAATTCTGTGAAATATTAACAAAGGCCTATAGTGAGTCTGCTATAAGTAAAACAAGAGTTTACAAGTGGTAAAAGAGCCGTGAAGACGTTGAAGATGACGAACGCCCCGAACGCACAAGCACATTAACAACCGATAAAAACATAGAAAAAGTGGAAGAAATGGTTATATACCTGCAGAGAAGTCGCTGATAATGTTGGTATATCGATTGGCTCACCCCATGAAATTTTTTCGAATGTTTTGGGTATGAAAAGCGTATAGCAGAAATTTTTTTTCTAAAATTGTTAAATTTTGAACAAAATTTTTGGCCAAAAACAATACTGTAATGATGCCCCAGCCTCCATATTCGCCAGACATGCCTCTGTCTGACTTTTTCCTATTCCCAAAAATAAAGAGAACCTTAAAGGGCCGTCGTTTTGCAAGCATAGATGACAATAAAAACGCATCGCTGAAAGAACTAAAGGCTATCCCAAAGATCGAGTTTTAGAAGTGTTTCGAGTATTGGAAGAAGAGCTGGCACATGTGCATAATATCCTATTTTGAAGGCGACAACATTAATGTAGACGAATAAATAAATATTTGTTTCAAAAAACGAAAATTCACGATATTTTCTAAACACACCTCGTAATATAATTATGTAATAATTATTACCTACAGATACATTTGGTGGTTAATTCTATCAAATTCCACTAATTTAGCAGCTTTTTCATAATTCCAAACCAAATGTTAACTAACACAAGAAACAATCTTTCAAAATGTCGGACACTTTCGTGAGTGGGGGATATTTTTAAGAATAGGCCAGTCAAACCAATATTTACTAATCTTAGAATAAATATAATTCTATTTATATCCAGTATAGTTTTATATCTATCTATAACAGAATAGAGGGAATTTTCCAAAATTTGGTATAATCGATTGTTAATCCTAAATTAAGAATAAGATTATTTCATTTAAAGTCTTTCTTAACATTTAACAGTCTTTAAGAATAAAGTTATTCTTACATTTAGAAAATAGTTTTTTCCGTGTAGGCTGAAAAATTTTCCAACATCTGTAAACAATCTAAACTCAATAATTTTGTACAAACAAACGTTTAAACAGAACCAACGGTTTACTTAATTTCATTGTAGGTTTAACAATACCGCTAATTTAACTGACATAATCAATTATGGCGGACCAATGAGTCTATAATCGTTAATCCACAAAATTGCTATGATTCCTACTGTGCCATCTGCTCTACTATAACTACTATACTTTGGGTAGGTAGGTAAACCTAAATATTTAGGAGAAGGGTGCTTGTGGTTAACACGTGCTATTGACTAAGTAAATAATATAATCCAAAAGTTGTACATGTGTTTAAATTTAAATTTAAATTCTTTTACCACAATACAACATAATTTATTGAAAAAATGTTTTGTCAATATTCTTATGGAAAATATATTTCTTATAAGAAGATTGATAAAACATTTCTATAATATTTTTTGCTGTTTTTCGAACCGTTATAATCAACTTCGAATCTGAACCTTTTTGTCACACGTGTCAACTTTTGATTGACATTTGGCTCCCCTTTTTTTCGGACACCATTGTGTTTTTTACGCTACAGACTACATTAATCTGCATCTAATCGTGTTTTCTTTCATTATGCTTGTTTTTTTATACTTTATTTTTGATTACCGTATGTTATTTTTACCTTACGTTGTGTTTTATACATTAAGCATATGCTATAACGTGTATTTAAAAACTTTCGAAACCCTTTAAACATTCATCATCAATGTTGTGTCTTTAAAGTTATTTTATATTTTTAACTTCAACACTTTACTCTGGCGTTCATTAGCGTTTGTTTATTACGAATAATGGCCTAGTAAAAAGTTATGGCAAATTTGCTTGCCTATGCAATTTACTGGAATTATTTAACACTTTAACGTTTCCGCGTCTGGTCATTTTTCACTCGCCAATATTGTGTTAGATGGTCGTTAGTACACGCTAGACAGAAGATGCTAGAAATTACTTCCTTCCCATTAGTTTTAAAGGCTGTTTGTGGCCCTTGAACCCAAGTTAAACACCTACAAAGTTTAAAGGGTTGACTATTCTAGACATTTACAAAGTTTTATAAATATTGACCGTCTGGTTCCCGAGTAAAAAAGTATTGAAGTTGATAAGACTACACGAAATGCTACACAGTAAAAAAATTTGCCCGTGTAAATTTTTCAGTGTAGGGGTAAAAATATTAGAGTTGATTTGTTAGTGTAAAAGTTACACTACAAAATACACTAGGTAGCATTTAGTGCTTATTAACTTTATTAAACACATTTAAAGAATATGAACATTATTTATTGGTACATTCACACTATTTATTATTAAAATAAATCAAAAGGGTAGAAAAACTTAATGCGAGTGTTTATTACCCCTTAATGTGTTAAATAGTGACAAAATGTACACTACAGTGCATGTCAATTTCTTTGTCTGTTTTGATGTTACTAAAAGCTCTTTTTTCTTTACACTACTAGTGCAAATTGTATCACAATTAAAGTTAAATTACACCAATAGTGGCAAAATAGACTGAAAAAACGGGTAATAACAGAAATGCGTTTTAAAATGTTTGGTTGGTACCCATCTACCTATGCAGTGCATATCCGAAGATTTTTGTTCAGTTAGATTTTAATTACGGTGAATCCATAAGAGGACATTCTTATTTTTTGGTAAGTATTATACTTCCTTTTTCTTTAAGCATTAATACTCAATAAATACCAATATGTTAAAAGGATGTCCATACCCGACCTATATTATATATCAATAATTTACGGCAGTAGGTCGGGTACTTGTAACATTAATAATATAAATACATACACAATTGATTTACTTTTTATTTTTAAGCGTAATGGTTGTTATATTAACCTATACGTACATTTTTATTAATATTATGGAAAATTTGTACACGTGTGGTAAATCCCCGACATACAGCCGCCTGACGCCTCTCTCCCAATGGGATCACCCATTTTTATAACAAAAAAATGGATTACTGATGAATTCTCAAGATAATTCATTGCTTACAAGTTGACAGCCAGTAAAACATTGCATTGATCTAAAACTTTTACGTTTTAAGGAACCATTTTGCTTAACCATACGACTCAAATATAAAATTATATTTCAAAAGGGACCGATTTTGATAATTGTCATAGATTTTTGTTCCAAATAAATGTTTCTCTTTATTTACCTTTTCGTTTTATTCACTACCACCAATAGGTTTTACTCAAATAATAGTGTTAATTTACACTAGAAGTTTGCACTAAAAGAGTAAAAGTACCTTTCTAAAATTAGAACTTTTCCAAAGTAGTGTTAATTTACACTGAACAAAAGTGGGATTTTACCCAGGAAGTGTAGAAGTACACGATTTTAGGTAAATTAACACTTTTTAATACAGTGTAAAATTACTTTATCCTCAGGCTATAGTGTTAAATTATACTTGCTTACTACTAATTACACTACAAATTAATTCTAATTGTAGTGTAATAAAACAACACTATTTAGTGTGGACCTGTGTGAACTCTAATTAGTGTTGCTTAGAGTTGATTTTTTTTACTGTGTATAATAAATAATAATCGATATATCGATTATTATTTTATGCATTAAGTATAAAAGGAAGTCCCCTTAAATCCCCTTAAACAGCCTTTAAAAGTACCTGGCTAGTGTCTATTTGTCTATTTGATTTATACACGCAATTAAAAACTATTGGGTGATTGAAAACTGCACATTAAGATTAATGTTTCAGGCAATTAAAAACTGCCCACCGAACAAAACTATTTTTAACATTTTTAATTTTTATGCCAGGTAAAACCATTAGAATTTATTAAAAATGCAAATAAATAATAATAAGCATGTAAAATTTGTGGACGTGGCAGATTTTTCTATAAAATTAGCTTTATTGCATACTTATAACAAACTAGCATTGTTAATAGAATTGGTCAATTTCAAAAAGGTTTATTTTTTTATTTGATTAAAGTCCAAAGCCCTACCCTTACTTGGAATGCATTGGCAATGTTAATTTGGTAAATGAATCAAAATTATAGATTCATTATGCGATATTAGACCACATTTGATAAGACCTACAAAGTACGTGTGTAATATTTTTAGATATATACATTCATATGCATATGTACAAAGCAATAACTGGTTTTGACTTGGAATGACCAAGACTTTTTTTGAGTGTTATTTCGTTAACGAAATGTCGTGTTTCAGAGGTCTACTTAATGTATTTTTTCAAATTCTTAATATTCTGTTTTGTGTAAGTTGTGGTGTTATTATTTGTTATATATTGAGTGCACTATTATTACAATTGTTTGTATTATTATTTTGGAGATCTGTACTTAAATTTAAGATTGTTATTATCATCACTCAAGGTCATTCAGCGATTAACACTGACATAGTTTTTGAATTGTATAATGTTGTTTGCGCATATTTTTATTATTTTTTTAGTTAGCAGGTGTTGGTCTCATAGCTCTGGGAGGAATTATTTTTATGGTACTTTGTACAAATGACAACTCCAAACCCGGTCAGTTAGTTCCGATTTTGTTGGTTCTGGTTGGTTTAGTTATATTTTATATTTCCATTACGGGATTTGTAGGAAGTTGTATGGAAAACACCTCTATGCTTATCACGGTAAGTCAAAATATGAGCATTTTTTAATATTGACTTATTTTTATAAAAATATAGTTTGTCGAATTTTATTACAAAATAAATTTAAATTTAAACAAAACATTATTTATTGAACTTTGAATCCTTACGAAATTTGTTTTGGTGTTTTTAAATAAAAAATGTTTACAGTCTATTAAGGATTTTAATAGGTTTGTTCCAACCGAACATTTGGACAGACGCAATACATATTTTGTATTACTTATGATAATAAAGTTTGTCAAAGTATATAAGAAGCTTTTATAAAATTACCTTTTAGTTTACGAGTTTTATAATGGTCATAGAAGGTCACTGTAACCTCTAGGTGAATAATTAGGCTATATAATTTTTTCTACAAACATTTTATATGATATGAACCGTTACCAGTAGGTTTATATATGTTTATAAAAGAGTTTTATACCGTTGCCATTTTTTCTGTATATTAAACAACAAATATTTTTCAGTATTCAGTAACACTATTGGTCATCCTTATTATTCAAGTTGGTTTGGGCACTTTTGCATACATCAAAATTAGGGACGAAAAAATACAACTGCAAGAGCTGGTAAAACAAATTAATAATATTTTTGTTTTATGAAATTTGTGAAATTTGAGTAATTAAAATGAGGATGGCAAAAAATATTGAAAAAACCTTTTTTCTATGATCAAGTAGCACAAATACTTATGAAATAAAAACTTAAAGCAGGTTTAATTTTGTTATTTTTTAGTTCAAATGTTGTAGAGTTGAGGGTGGTATTTCAAAATATCAAGCAGATGAAATGTTACTCCACATGGCCGAACCAATTTGTGATGCCTTTCTATTTTCTGTTTTGAAAATAATTGATAGTAATGTGGGTTATATGCTTTTTGGACTAGTTGGAGAAGAAGTAAGTTTTTTAATAATCTAAGTGACTTAATTTTTAAATTATTAATATTTTTTTAGTTAATTTGCATATTATTGGGAACATGTTTGATGATTTTTATAAGGAAAAACAATAAGGAATATTTTGGATCAACAATGGAGACTCAGGAAAAAAAGCCTTTCTTGCATCAGCCCGCTTGTTCTCGAAAATCGTCCATAGAAAAAGTCTGATTTTAACCATATTTATTTTTTATTATACATTTTTAAAGATTTAAACATAAAAATAAACAAAAAAAAAAGGAAATTTGTTTTTTACTGTCAAGTTCTCATTCCACCTCCTAAAAGTGAAATACGAACAATATTATTAGACTATTATTTTAAATACTCTATTTAATAGAGTCTATTATCATCATATAGGTAGATTTGAAAAAAATACAATTTCATATCTTTTTTTTTAATCTGGTAATTGCCCAAATTAATGAAAATATAATAGTTTGGTTAAAATATTTACTCAGAAATGTTTAAACTAAAACAAAAAAATAAGAAAATCAAACTAAAACCTTCTATTTTTAAAAATATCCAGTTATTCACGTATTTATGTATTTATTACACGGTGTCGCCATCTATCTGTCAATAGAACTAACTGAAAACTAATATCACAGCCATCTTTAAAAGCATTAGTTAACCTCCAATTGAATGTTTAGCAAAATTAAATTTACTAAATTCAAGGCGAATCCACAACGAAATTAAACATTTAATTTTAAAGTAAAATGCGATAAGCCAGACCACATCCGACCTATGTAGATTGATGATTCGTATACGTCTTGCGCATTGAATGTTTGTGTTCTGCACAGTGTTGCCGTTTGCGGGTATTTTACCCGAAAATCGGGTATTTTCGTCATGCTTGCGGGTAAAATATTTAAGCGGGTAAAAGCGGGTATTTACCAAATTTCGGTAAAAATATTTAATTAATTTATTTTTGCAAGCAGAGCTGAAAAATATATTTTTTAATAATTTTATTTTATTAAGAAAATATATAATTTATTAAAAAAATATATTTTTTAGCTCTGCAGTTATTAAAAATACCGCTACCTTTGTAGTTGTGCCGCCCGCTTTTTTTTAGACTACTTATAAAGAAGCCGCGACACGTGCCCTGAAAAGGCGCACCTATTCGATACCATGCTGTAGAGGAGGTTATTTTAAGCATAAAAAAAATTGCAAAAAAAAATCCGACCAGTTTTCGAGTTATTAAGCATTTAAGTTTAAAAAATTTGGCAACGCTTGTACGTTTCAAGCCCATTTAAGAGACATCTAAAACGGTTGTTATGGAACAAAGCATCTACAGCCATTTTAAGTTAATATGATGTTTTTTAGCAGTTCCTGTCAGAAAACCCAAACTTTAAATCATCATAACTTTGGTAATATTAATAAATTTAAACTTTTTATTTTTTAAACTTGATTAGAAAATTGTGTTTAATCCTTTTATAAAAACATATATCCTTAAAAAATTAAAATAAAACCCTCATAATTTAAAAACTACTCGGAAAAAAATTGTAATTTTTTATATATTTAAAATAACCTCCTCTCCAATGTGGTACACCATTTCATAACACCCTGTATATATATATATAAATATATATATATATATATATATATATAAGATAAGGTAAGTATTTTTTTACTCTTGCGGGTAAAATCGGGTATTTTCTATTTTTTGACCGGGGATTTTCATGAAAGACATCCGGCAACACTGGTTCTGCAGTTTGTGATTATCCGTGCAAATAAAAGCGGCATTTCCTCTTAAAAGTTCCCAGTCGGTTTTTATCCTGTACGACGAATACGTTTTTTAGTGTTACAAAATGGGGTGTGCAAGCGGCACAGTTAAATTATTATTACAGACTGCCAATCTGCTGTTTTGTGTAAGTTATTTAGGTATTAATATTTTGTAATTGTGTAGTTTACAGTGCTGCCAGAGCAGATGGTCGGATAATCCGTATATATTCGTGGAAAGGGTGGGGGGAAGCCTCGAAAAATCCGTAAAAATCCGTTTTTGTCTAAATTTCGAAAAATTTCTTCTATAAGGGGGATTTTCGTGACAAAACATACCTTTCGTCAAAGAAAATCCGAAACATCTCAGAATTTTTCGGGGGAGTTTCAGAAGTTTGAACCTCTTCGTCAGTGATATAATTCTCGTCACTTTCCATTTTTCACAAAATAAAGTATTTTATATACAGATTCGGATATATAATAAACATTGACTTTGAGATCAAAATATTGCCACAATGCAGTTCAATGCACTGAACTGGAGTCAGTATTGGTTAGTCGTTACTATTGGTGGCATTGCGCCGCTTATATATTGGCAGCAATAACAACGTGTTATAAAACCTTAACAAATGATATGAAACTATCGTTCTCTTTGTCACACTCAATGAAAAAGCATATGTTTCGCATATATTCGGCGTTTAAGAACCCTACTATCGCTAACAAAAAAAACTCATACAGCTGGGTCAGAATTTCTCAAACGGGCCACCTGAATTAGGTCAAAATTAGTTTTTGATTGTAGATACATTTTTTCGATAGTATTTTACATCACTAACACAAATCCTAAAGGATTTTGTAAAAAAAAAAATTTCAATTGACATATTCATATAAAAGTTTTTAGTAATTAAAAAATAAAAAAAAATCATTATGGCTAAACTAATTATCCGATTCCAACGATTTAACTAGCGTTGGAATCTTGTTTTAACATAGATTCTTTGTTATTTTTTTCAATTGTACAATTTTCATTTAGGTCGATTTTTTTTTGTTTTTTTTTATAACAAATTCGGAAATAATTGGCTTCTGCGCCAGCTATCGACTCGAAAAAAAAAAACACATATACTCCAATCATTTTTCGAAATTATGCTGCTGAGAAAAAAATGGCCCGCAGGTTCCAGACCACCGTAAGACGTCGCGTCACAAGCGCGTACAGCGTACACGGTTCGGAGCGTGAGCTGACACCGCGCGCGGCCACAAAAGGACGAATAACTTTTTGTCAACCTGCGGGCCATTTTTTTTCTCAGCAGCATAATTTCGAGAAATGATTGTAGTATATGTGTTTTTTTTCTCGAGTCGATAGCTGGCGCAGAAGCCAATTATTTCCGAATTTGTTATAAAAAAAACAAAAAAAAATCGACCTAAATGAAAATTGTACAATTGAAAAAAATAACAAAGAATCTATGTCAAAACAAGATTCCAACGCTAGTTATATCGTTGGAATCGGATAATTAGTTCAGCCATAATGAATTTTTTTATTTTTTAATTATTAAAAACTTTGACTTTTAATATCATGAATATGTCAATTGAAATTTTTTTTTTTTACAAAATCCTTTAGGATTTGTGTTAGGGATGTAAAATACTATCAAAAAAATGTATCTACAAACAAAAACTAATTTTGACCTAATTCAGGTGGCCCGTTTGAGAAATTCTGACCCAGCTATATTGTGGCTGTGTGAATAAAACTTTTCCGTCAATGTCAAGCTGACATCGAGCTTTGTCACATCCATTATGACTTTTTTAACAACATTTTCAACCAAACAATGCAGACGAACTCTGGCAAGCCATTGAAGCCTTTTGGAACGAGATAAAGCAAGACGGCGACTTCCATGCTTTGCCGTTTGCGGGCAGTAATTAACAAAAACAGAGGGATGATGAAATATAATTTTTTTTTAAACTTCAACCTAACTTTGTATTTAATTTTAGACCTTTCAAATGTGACGTATCATGTTAAAAGCCATAATTACTCCAACGAAAATCAGGAACACTAGATTCTTAAGCTGTATGAGTTTTTTTTGTTAGCGATAGTATATTAAGAACACATCCTTTTTCAATCCGCTTTCTTTTTCTGTCTAACGTAGTAAAAAGGAAGAGGAATAGAAGCGTGACAAAGATGATCAAAAAACGGGGCAAAAATGATGTTTTTTTAGTATTAGTATGAAGCTATCTTAAAAATCCGTAAAAATCCGTATTTGATGAAAATCCGTTCAAAATCCGTTTCCAATTTCTCTAGACCTGGAAAATCCGTAAAAAACGGATAAATCCGTTCATCTGGCAGCACTGGTAGTTTATATTGCTTTATATATAACCTACTGTATTTTGCCGTTGCAGTGCCAAGTTGGCCAACTGTGTTTATTTTAACTAAATATACATTGCACTATTTATAACTTTATCATTATTTATGATTTTTTAATAGTACAAAGACTTATTTGTCAATTTTACATAAAAGTTTGTTTCCTGTTAAAATTATATTTTGATAATTTTATTTTTTTTGTTTTTTTATCACCATTAAAAATTAGGTTTAGTGGGATTATTGCTGCCAATGGCCAATTTAATCGAATTAAATGTCAAATAAAAACCAAGCATAATTATTAATATTTAATATTAAAGTTGAAAAATTATGTGTAGATTTTAAAGAAATAATCCTTATCAGTTGTGTACGTAAATAGAATTATAAATTTCAGCGAATTCTTTAATATTTAACCATGACTCATATTTTATTCCACATGTTTATTATTAAACTAGATTACAAATGGGGAGAATAATAATAATATTAATATAATAAGTTTTCTTTTAAAGGAGAATATGGTTTTTTGGGTTAGTAATTGTCAAAACCATACATTCATAATATTCCAAACAAAATATGCCAAAAGCTATTAGTTTTAGGTTTTAACCTAAAATAATTATTATCCCACTTCAGCTTCAAGTGTATTAATTTGTTTATTATTAAACTAGATTACAAATGGGGAGAATAATAATAATAATATAATAAGTTTTCTTTTAAAGGAGAATATGGTTTTTTGGGTTAGTAATTGTCAAAACCATACATTCATAATATTCCAAACAAAATATGCCAAAAGCTATTAGTTTTAGGTTTTAACCTAAAATAATTATTATCCCACTTCAGCTTCAAGTGTATTAATTTGTTTTAATTTCCCCACAGTCCCGTAGATAAGATATGGATTGATTATTATTGTGTGTAATAATTACATATTACGTAGGTTTTTCCAAACCCACGATACCTACTAGTAATCTTTTAAATACACATTGACTATTATACCTATACCTATATTATTATAGGTCATAAAGTCACACCTATAATAGGTGTGTCTTTATGACCTGAAGTCACATGATGAAGTTTTTTTTAATGTGGAAATCATTTTGCGTGTTTCATTTTGAATGAGGAAAATGCGGTATTTATTTCATCGCAATTTCTTGCTTTATAGTTATTTTTAAATATTCTTATCTGAGAAACAAATTCGGTTACCATTTCCTTATGAATATGAAGTTAGCAAAGTTCCCATCGCTAATCAAAAAGCGATTAGATGTATAATTTGTCGTTAATTAGTTGTGAAAAAATTAATTTTGTCGTTCGAATATTTCTTTGTTTTTACGGGTGCTTTGCTAACTTCATATGAAGTTAGCAAGGCACCCCCCTTAAATATCTGATAAAAAAAAATTTAATTGTTAATATTTTGCCGTTAATTTGTCGCTAATTAGTTGTAAATAAATTAATTTTGTCGTTTAATAATTTTTTTTTTCGGCTGCTTTGCTAACTTCATATGAAGTTTACAAAATACCCATAAAAACAAAGAAATATGCGAACGACAAATTTAATTTATTCACAACTAATTAGCGATAAATTAACGGCAAAATATTAACTATTAAATTTTTTTTTATCAGATATTTAAGGGGGGTGCCTTGCTAACTTCATATGAAGTTAGCAAAGCACCCTTAAAAACAAAGAAAAATTCGAACGACAAAATTAATTTTTTCACAACTAATTAACGGCAAATTATGCATCTAATCGCTTTTTGATTAGCGATGGATGCTTTGCTAACTTCATATTCATCATTTCCTTTGAAATTTTGTGTTTGGTTTTGGTTTTGTAATGTTAAAAACATTTATTAAACCGATATAATTCACATATTTTTTTTTAGTTGGCAGGATTGGGTTTGATAGCTATAGGAGGATTAACCTTAAACAACTATCACAAATATGATGACGCCATTCCAGACGATTTCCAAAGTCTCCAGTTGGCCCCGATTTTCACAATTGTTGTGGGATCGATCATATTCTTTATTTCTTTCATGGGATGCTGTGGGGCTTGCCAGGAAAATACCTGTATGCTTTCTACAGTAAGTGATCTACTACGCCTTAGCATGACATACACTCACAGGCAATATAATCGATCCACACAAATTTTCGATGAATTTCAATAGCAAATAACTTTTTTATATTAAAGAATATTGTAGATAAATTAATGGACAATCGCTCACATTTTAAAAAATTACGAAAAAATAGACGTAGTTTTATAATATACAGGTTTAAACAAAAAGATGTTTTTTACCATAAGTTTAAGACACTCTGTAGAGTGGCTAAACCGTATATTGTTCTAAATTAAGTTTTATTTATCAAGTCACATCTATTCTTAACTGTTTTGTTTAGGGTTTACCTCGATATATTTATTTTTGTGGAAAATATGAATTTAAAAAAAAAAACATTGCAATTTCCAATATTTTTCTGTATGAAGAACTAAGGTTGCTATGTTCCATCCATATGCTATGGAGAATGACAGTGACAGTTTTGTTAAATCATCCCATACTTGGACATGTCATACACGGCTTTCAAAAGCTATCAAATTGTTTTTTGCAAATTAATGTTTAAATTTTGAGGTGTCTTCTCACTTTAAAAAATGGATGTCTCCGACTGATGTTGCCAGAGCCATTAATTTAATCCAGGATGGACGGTCACAGTATTACGTGGCAAGTGTTTTAAACGTCACAAGAAGTAAAGTACAAAGGACAACATCAGTCGGAGACATTTTTAGATAATTTACAAAAAACAATTTGATAGCTTTTGAAAGCTTTTGAAAGCTGTATATGACATGTCCAAGTATGGGATGATTCAACAAAACTGTCACTGTCATCCTCCATAGGCTATGGATGGACCATAGCAACCTTAGTTTTTCATACAGGAAAAATATTGAAAATTGCAATGTTTTTTAAAAAAAATCCATATTTTCCACAAAAATAAATATATCAAGGTGAACCAAAAACAAAACTGTTAAAAATGGATGTGAGTTGATAAATAAAACTTAATTTAGAACAATATACGGTTTTGCCACCCTACAGAGTGTCTTAAACTTATGGTAAAAACATCTTTTTGTTTAAACCTGTATATTATATACGTACGTCTATTTTTTAGTAATTTTTTAAAATGTGAGCGATTGTCCATTAATTTATCTACAATATTCTTTAATATAAAAAGTTATTTGCTATTGAAATTCATCGAAAATTTGTGTGGATCGATTATTTTGCATGTATTGTGTATTATACCTATGTTAGGTGACTGACATAATATTTCTCATTGTAGTATGCAGTGATATTATTGGGCATCCTCCTTGTTCAGGTTGGTTTGGGTATTTACGCTTTTATGGAAATAAAAAATGATGACCAACTACAACATGCTATCACAAAACAATTGGAAATTATATACAAAAATGACAAAGATCACGAGGTTAGGGACATGATCGAAAAAGAGGTATGTTTTATTTTTTTTATAAAAACCGCGGTACGAAAAATTTCGGGTTCTCTTAGGCTTAATTTATTTTTTAGTTACAATGCTGTGGTTATGACGGATTTATAACATCTGCGCTTAATGGACAAATATGTATAGATCCAACTAAACCACCATGTGATAAGGCCATTTTAAATTTAATCCACACATCCTTTAAATATCTTGGGTACACTCTTTTAGGAATGTTAGCAACTGAGGTGAGTACAAAAAAGAAAAATATGTGACCAATAAATTCTTTGAACATGTCGATGAAATTACTTATAAGTGTATTTCTACTAAAGGAAATTTCAACGGTAATTTTAACGTCAGAATTTTTACTTAATGGTAAATGTTACTCATAAGTCATAATTTACGGATATTAAGACCACTTTATAACCGTAAATAATTCCTATTCGCCTGGTATTTTTAAGGGTTATTAGTGGTAATAAATACTATTAATATTGACTAAACAAGGAAAAATAAGCTTAAAGTGAAAAATAAAAGGGACATTTTTTTTCAGGTCGCCATAATGAGTTTTTTAAGATGCCATCCATTACTTATCTAAACATTTATATAATATTTTTCCATAAAAATTTTTCTAAAACTTAATAAGGAAAGTTTTAGTTATTAAGAAATGATTAAAACTAATTGATTTTTAAAAGATTTTATAAAATTTTGTTGAATTTTTACCCAAGCAATAATTTTTCTTAAAACCGTAAAATATTTAGAGGGCACATAATTTTTAATCAATATTAATAAAATAATGTGCGTTTGAGTTTTAATGCAAAATATTATTAGTTTTGACAATTTAAGTTATATTTTTTAATTTTACTCTAAGGTGGCCTTTATTACTTTGTAAGTACCATTTTGCAAAATATAAATTAAATGAACAAAGAAATTATGAATGTCAATGTTTTAGAAAGAGAGAGCAAACAGTTAGTAATTATAGCGTTATTTTTACGTAAATTTGTGGTATTTATATTGTTTTTATTACCGTTATTCTCTTAGTTTTTTATGTAGGTAAAATAACGAAATAAACCATTCCCCAAATTTGGTAATTTTTCGTATCTAAACCGTTATAAAACCGTTTTGGTTAACCGTAAAAAATACTTTAAAATTGACTTGGTAGTAAATTTGTAGTTATTTAAACTTAATACAATAATAAGCTGAAAAAGTTTGACGTTGAAATGAAATATATAAACATTTCTTCTATAGATCTATTATCAAAACCCCATTAAAAAGTTTTTAATGAAAACATTATTGTAAACTTTAAATTTTCTACATTTAATAATTAATATCTCCCAAGCTATCAGCCCAAAAGTGTATATTGCTGAAAACACAGTTTCATATATCTATTTCAATCTTCAAAAAAAAGAAGGGGTACAATTTAAAAAATGGCCGATTACGTTAGAGATCCTACAAAAATGGCGGAAAATATGAAATGATTTATTTGAGAAAAAAGCCGAATTTTTCAAATAATTTGTTCCATATTTATACCGGTTTCTGTATACATACATATGTATATAGATAATATCTAAAACTAATAAATTATTTCTTTTTAGTTGATTTGCAGCGTCTTCGCATTATTTTTGGTCAACTCAATCAAGAACGAAGGAAGAAGGGGAAAATACTACCAATAAAAAGTTTTTTTATTTTTTTAAAGAGAAGAAATTCCAAAAAAGTTTGTTAAACTTTATTTATGTAAATTAAGACTACTACCGTGTTTTATAATAATGAAAAAAGATTTTTACAATAAAACAAATAATAAAATATATAAACAATAGTTTTTTTAACACCAATACTTTTAAAATTGCCGCTGTTATGACTAAGTCCTGGTACTAAGTCTTAGTATCATGTGACTAAGTAACATCTTGCGAATTCCAAAAAATGGTAGTAACGGGTTTTCGCAACGCGCGCGCCATCTGGTGAACTTCGATAGCATTGCGTTAATTTAAGAATTGTCAACAATACATTTAAAGCACAGATTATACATCATTTTTAAATAAATAGATCGTTTTTTCACAAAAGAGAGGAAGGCAGAAGTCTTACTCGACAAATTTTGTTCAATTGCACAGCTAAATCGCGCACGTTATTTGTGTTTTACGTTGCAAGGAAAAAATTAAAAAACTTTTTTAGTACTCGATTTCGATTGATTATTCCTTATATCATTGATAAACAAACTCAACGCTTAAATGCTTATATAGTTACGTTAGTGTGTGTATTTTATCAAAGGGATCATGGTGAATTATTGTGTTTTTAATTGTAAACAAAATTCAAGAACTAAATCGTTGCATTTTCATGTTTTGCCAAAGGATCCATTCGGTAAGTACATTTGTTGGTGCAGAATTAACTAATAATAACTTTACCTAATATAATTTATATTTAAGTTTGGACATTTTTAAGAAATTAGTAAAACATAATTTTTGCACAAACATAACCTTAAAATCAACCATTTTTATATTTGAGTTCTCTAAAAAACGGCGACAACTGCATTTTAAACAACAAAATATACCTACGAATTCATGGCAATATAATATTATACATAATACATAATATAATGGTATTTTACCTTTGAGTGGAGACTTTTTTAATCAACGCTTTTAATAATGCTAAATGCTGTTTAAATTTAGACGACTTATTTGTTTGATGATTTTTACTGAAATGAAATGTTTACACTTTTCACGTTAATCACTACTAAAATGTGTATTTATTGTATCTAATAGGTACAATTTATATTTACAGAGACTGTATGCAATTTATTTCTTCATTCAGATTAAGACTGTTTATTGGAAAACCGGTAAAAACTCAACCCAGGATTTCCTCTCGAAATACACCCAACAACACAACAAATCGAGCCACGGTTTTTTTTTCGATATTTTTTAACTTTTTCCGGCTTTATTCTCAAAAACATTTGTTGGTAACTTAAGCGTCTGACAGCTGATTATTAAAAGTTTTACTTTTGTTACGATGATAACAGCCGAGTGGTGGCGCTACTAGCGATACTTCTTTAGCGTATAGTAAAAAAAATCTGCTCACCACAGTTTTTACCAAAATACAATACTGATGTATTTCATAACTCTAACCCACTTCAATGTATCCCCTAATTTCAGTTTAAAAACCAGTTTTTCGGATACAAATCTGATCTTATTATAACAGTGTTACAGCGAAGATGATTTCTGCTTGCCATGTTGCCAAGTCATCAGTGATCAATTATTTGCGTAATTCGAATTGTAAAAATAAGTTATGAATAATGCATTTCGTTCTGCGGTAAATTGCGGTCAATTAACGTACGATCTATAGATTTTGCAAATAAAAGCGGCATTATGTCTCAAAAAGTGCCAGTCAGTTTTTCCCGTTCTACAAATACATTTTTTAGTGTTATAACTATAGTTATTATTAATTTGAAACAAAATGGGATGTGCAAGTGGTTTTGTTAAAGTAATATTACAGACTGCCAATGTTCTACTTTGTGTAAGTTTATTTATTGATAATTTAATGTAATGTAATTGTTGTAAGTTTCAATACCTACTTAAAGTTATAACAACGGCCAAATATAAATACATTTATATTTTGCCAAATGGCTGTTAAATAGGGTTTTTAAAAATACTAAACTATCTGTGTAATTAATAAAATTTAACAACTGAGATAAAATTTATTTTTTATTTTATATATATTTTTATTTTAAACTAAAATATTTTCATAAAGCAATAGCCCGCTTAGAGTTTTTTAAAATTTTCTTTTTAACGAATATTTTTTTCATTTAAATTTTTGTAGACTTTTAATTAAAAAATAGATGACAGAAAAACCGTTAGAGATAATTTAATGAAATATTCAGGATTTATTGTTTAATATTCACATTTTAAAAGTTAAATACCTATGTCTTTTACAATGTTAAACGGTAATAGTAAACAAATTTAATTATTTTAATTTAATAATTAAAACAAATAGATATAATGTTTGTTTTTATTTATAAATAAACACTGTAAAAATTAACAAATAATTAAATAAAACATATATTTTTTTAATTATCTTCATTTGGTTTTTTATTTATAAACATAAATAACAAATGAATTTTACAAGCCATTTCAGTTTATTTGTTAAATAAGTTAACGTGTAGTCAATACTAAACACAAGAATTTTTAACATTTTTATTTATATGTAATAGTGATTTATTATGAATGCTAATAAAAAGTGTACAATGCATATACCTAACTGATAAAAAAAACAAAATCATAATTTAATAAGGGAGAAGTCGTTAAAATTGTCATTTGTTTATTTAAAAGTTAATTAAAAATAATTTTAAATTAGTTTTCAAAATTTCATTAAAATACAGTTTTTCTGTCTTCTATTTTTTAATTAAGTCTCCAAAATTTTCATTGTAAAAAAAATGTTGTTAAAATTAAAATTCAAAAAAACTGTTTCATGGTTTTATTATTGATAGTGACTGTTTTATATTAAAATATATTAATTTGAATTCCACAATAAAGTGGGAAATGGGGGTCCAATTAAGGTGATCTTACTCATGGTTTCATTTAATTCCACAGGAAGTGACGCATTCTGATTTTTCTTTGAAGTTAAGGATTGCGTTTGTGGTTTTACACTAGGCGTAAATAACAGGTCTGACTTGTGACTGCTTTTAATACCCTTCAAAGTTCAGCCCTCTGGATTCAAAGGGTTCTGTACTACATTGATAAAAAATCCTTAGTTATAAGCAAGTTTTTAATGCCGATTTTTATAAAATTCAAAGTCTTCTTGTAACGTTTTTATATTAAAGATGGAATTATTTGCAGGCAATTGACTTTGCGACCATCTAAGAAATTTTTTTTTACAAATGGATTTTTTTGTGAACAGGAAGTCTTCTGTTTTTATATGGGGTTACGTGAAATGTGTTGGTCTTTTTTGTCATTTTTAACTAAATCACTTGGTCTTTTTTCTTGCCTTTAATTTCAATAACTCTAAAGTCATTATTATGTTAAGAAGATAAGTTACGTATCTTAGATAACTGTGACCAGGGGTAAATTGTAACTGGGGCAGTAAATACAGTACCTTAAGTGTTTTTTTCCCAATGAAAGTTCTATTCTTGACATGTTACATGCCCCCTATATTGTAGAGCGTAATACCTAAACAATTTTATTTTATTATTTTTTAATCTAGCGACATAATACGATTTGTCAATTTAACATAAAATTTTGTAATTTTTATCCTGTTAAAATAGCAAAAAAAAACATTAAAATAATCTTTAAGTATAATTAGGTAATTATTATTACCTAACATTTTAAAATTATGTGTACATTTTAAAGAAATAGTTCTTATCAGTAATAGAATTATAATTATGATTATAGCGAATTCTTTAATATTCAATCATGACCACATGTTTAATATTATTCCACAGATAACAAACGGAAAAAATATTATTAATAATAATAAAAGTATTTTTTTACAAATGTTACTCAATTATATTGACATACTGGATTTAAAAGCGTAAACTTTATCTAAATGTGTCATGCATAAAAAACATTGACAATCTTGGAGCGATTTGGAGAAAATACGTATTTTTCATCGTTTAGTCGATTTGGTAAAACATAAGGATTTGACGCGTTTCTCGGAAAAACATCATTAGTCCAAAATTAACATATTTGGGAAAATGAAAAAAACTCTCCGACATTCCCATTTTTGACCAAAGTACTTTATTGACCTATTTACTACATGTAAAAAATGTAAGATACTTTGTCCAGAATTCCTCATGTTTGTATTTTCAAACGAATATGAAAAAAACACAAAAAATACATGAACATGTGAGGTTTTTAGAAGAAAAAAACAAACAATTCTCCTTACCACAAACACTACAAACTAAATACTAACTCTGAGTAACAAAATAAATGAAAAAACTAAAAACTGTATTACTATTTTAATTATTAAAAAAAATATTTAACAATTAAAATCTTTGTAGGGAAGGGAGTTCAAGCCTAAATATTGGCATCGTTGAAAACTAGAAGATTGACTAAAAAAAGGTTTACAAAAAAAAATATTTAAACAAAATAAGACATTTATTGTTTGATATCAACAAAAGCGCTAACAATAATAAAGTAACATAAATATGATTTAACATAACATTTTTATTACTAATTTTAATTAATACCTTACCTTCAAAAACATTGAACAAATTAATTAAATTTCATTTATTTAAAAAGAGTTTCAATGATTCCAACTTCACTGTGAAAGTACATACAACACGCCACAACACAACACAACCGGCATAATGTATTTTAGAAATACCTATAATAGAATTATAAAAAGAAACATTTTAAACGTTTTATAAATTTTTTGTGTGTTCACTAAATTTTCTTTATTTTTGTAGTTGGCAGGATTGGTTCTGATAGCTATAGGAGGGTTCGCATTGACTAACGTTTGCAAATACGATTTGCAAAGTTTCCAGTTGGGCCCAATTTTTACAATTGTTGTGGGATCGATCATATTCCTTATATCTTTGATGGGATGCTTCGGGGTTTTCCAGGAAAACTCTTGGATGCTTTCTTCAGTAAGTATGACCTTAAGAGTGTTTAAAAAAACTATAAATTCTCTAATTTCTCATTTCTCGAGAATGAGATCTCATTAATAATATTTTCTAAAATAACATTTTTTAGTACGTAGTATTATTATTGGGCATCTTTATTGTTCAAGTTGGATTGGGAATTTACAGTTTTATGGAAATTAACAATGACTACCAACTACAACATACCATTACAAAACAATTGGATATTATTTACAAAAATGACAAGGATCATGAATTTAAAAACATGATCGAGAAAGGGGTATGTTTTAATTTTTATTAAGTAATTAAACCTCACAAAAATAGTGTATTTATATAATTTATATGTTTTAGTTACAATGCTGTATTATCTATTATGATAATAATTATGATGGTTTTATAACATCGGCACTTGGTAGGCCAATTTGCATGGACCCGACTGTCCTAACTTGTGATAAGACAATTTTCAATTTAATTCGTGCATCCTTTAAATATATTGCATTTACACTTTTAGGGATGTTGATAACTCAGGTGAGTACTTTAATTTCTTGTTAATAATACAAAGACTACAAAATGTAACATTCTTTTTTTTAAATCAATAAAACGAGTTTTATAGACAAAAATAAACCTCAAATAGTAAAATATAGTCTGGTTTCTGTGCTTTCTGTTTTTGTAGACTTATGTATTTAATAAACTAATAAATTATTTCTTTTTAGTTGATTTGCAGCGTGTTCGCAATAATTTTGGTCAACTCAATCAAGAACGAGAAAGGGCAAATACTACATATAAAATAGTTTTTTTTATTTTTTTAAAGAGAAGAAATTACCAAAGAGTTTTGTTATAATTTTATTTATGAATATTTAGATTGTTACCGTATTTTATAAATATTAAAAAAGATTTTTACAATATAAGACTACATAAAATATAAACAATAGTTTTTTTTAACACTAATCCTTTAAAAATTGCTGCTTTCGAGCTTTCTTGGAAGTATCACTGGTACCAAATTTCAGTTTGCTGAATTCATCTTTGTTTAAGTTTTGAATAATTTTTCTTAAGTCTTGATTTTTGAAATTAGGTACTCTCAATGACTGGTCTCTTTCTAAAGGTGTTTTGACGTTTTTGAGTAGGTATAGCTTGAAATCTAATTAATCGATTTGGTCAAACAAGCCCTTAAATTGGAGGTATTTAAGCCCTCTAACACTTTCTTTTACATACTTTTGATATCGGATAAGTATTTTGACGCTAGTGATTTTAATAAGTTAAAAAATTCGTTTTATGGCAAAAATTGAGGTCGAAAATTTAAATCGTCCTGGGAAAGATTTCAATCAAACAAATAACTCCAGTTTGAATTTTTTTCATGAAGCTAACATTTTTACAAAAAAAAAACAAGCTGTTGATAAAAATACATGAAAAAATGGCGAAGTTATAAATTATTTAGTGGAAGACCAAAATTCAGCTTTTTGACGATTTTTATTTTATTTTTTTTCTTTTATTTTGTAATATGTTTAGTCTTTAATGAAAACCTAAATAAAGTGCATGATTGGAATTTTTTTAGTTTTTACGTACTTTTTTCACCGAAAACATTATTCAAAATATAAATTGACATGACTCCGCAAGCGTGAATTCTTTTGTTTCTCGTGTTGGCATTTTACTGATATTTTTTGATATTTCAAAAAGGTATTTTTATCATGGTTTTATTTAGTGAATAAAAAGTGTAAAATGAGTAAAAGAAGTAGATAGTTCGTAAATAACCCGGACAATCTGGGCGACGTAAGTGATGAGCACGGAGAACGTTTTCACCAGCAAATGAAGGCTATGGAGCGGCGGTATCACGGCTTCTGGGATGCAGCCATGATGGGTGATTACATTTGGTCCCTCATACGAGAAACGGAATACGAAAGCAACAAAAAACAAAGGAGCCAGAATTTTTTTAAACCTATGCTTATTACAACAAAATAAAACTTTTAATTTCTTCAATGTTCAATATTTATGGTTTAATATCCAATATATAATTTAATTTCAATATTTAATGTTTAAAATAAAAATCTATGTTCAATATTAAATTTTATATAATTCAATAAAATGAAGAAAAAACGTAAGAACTGTCGAAAAACTGAATTTTGGTCTTCCACTGAAAAATTCATAACTTCGCCATTTATCCATGGATTTTTATAAACAGCAGCTTATTTTTTTCCTTTAGGTATAATCTATACGTAAAATAAATCAAACTGGACTTATCTTTTCGATTTCTATCTTTTCTATCTTTTTGTAAAAAAAGGACTTTTTCAACTTCACAAAACTATACAAGAGAAAGTTATAAAGGGCTCAATTACCTTTGATTTAAGTGCTTGTTTGGTCAAATCGATTAATTAGAACTTGAAGTATACCCTAAAACGTCAAAACACCTCAGAAAATTTAAAAAAACAATTAAAAATTCATATCTCGAAAACGATTCCATGAAAAAAATTTAAGTGTGATTTTCGCGTTTAGTGAGCAAAACTACACAAGAAAATCATAGTGAGACATGGTGGGCAAAATATCTGTAAACTAGTGTTATTAACGTAATTCGAATTATAAAAATAAGTTTTAACTTATTATTTAATTATTACTAATACATATGTATTAAGCATTTCATTTTGCGGTTAATTAACGTACCATCTAAAGATTTTGCAAATAAAAGCGGTATTATGTCTTAAAAAGTGCCAGTTAGTTTTTATCCTGTACGAAGAATCCGTTTTTTGGTGTTAATTATTAATTTGAAACAAAATGGGATGTGCAAGTGGTTTTGTTAAACTAATATTACAGACTGCCAATATTCTGCTAAGTGTAAGTTTATTTATTGATAATTTAATAAAATTGTTGTTAAAAAAGTTTCATACTATTTTTTAATCTAGCGCCATAAGACGATGATTTGTCAATTTTAAATACAATTTTGTAATTTTTATTTACTGTGAAAATCGCAATTTATTATCTCCATTAAAAAAGTAAAGCTTAAAACCAATTATTTTAAAATGTGGTGTTTTTTCGTAATCAGCAAATATACATATTAAATTCTAGACCAAAATTGAATATATTATTATTATTATATATTGTATACAAAATGACAAAACTTCTTTAAAAAATTAAATATGTTTATTATATGGTTTAATCAAATAAATATTATGTGTACATTTTAAAGAAATACCTAGTCCTTATCAGTAGTGTGCGTAAATATAATAATAAATTATGCTGAATTATTTTATATTCGGGTCATTTTCAAGAAACACCCGCTTTCAGGAAAATGAATATCAAATTTTTTTTTTGCTTAAATTGACTTTTGGTTGGATTTTTATAAATGTTTAGAGTTTTGTTTACTTACATTTAAGACGGGCAGTGCATTTTTTATTTTTTTTTACGTTTTTTTCAGAAAAATGTGTTTAATATTGTAACATGTATATCTCCACTGTGTTACCAATTTGAAATCCAAAATTTAATTCAATAAAAAAAGTAAATATTTTGAAATAAAATGTACTTAGTTCACAAACTTTTGACTCCAATTTTTTATTTTATTTTTTATTAAAAATTGTATGCTTTTTTTAAATATTTATGTTCGTTAAGTTACTTTTTAAAAGAAACCATTCCGATTCTTTGTTAAAAACAATACCATTAATATTTTGTTTTAGTCACTGTATTAGTGAATTAAACTCTAATTTATAAACACGTATTACCAAGTGATAGTGTATAAATATCATTTTATGTATTTTTTTTAACAAAAACTAAAAAAGTAACGAAATAGACATTGGTATCACAACGGACAGGGGTACACAGGAGGACTTAATCAGATAACGTAAAAAAGAAACTATATAAGGTGGTACGATTTTAGAGTAATGCATAAACAAAATCCCTTGTAGTGGTGCTCACTTGCAGAATAACAACTTAGATTTCTAAATTGTAGACACCCTTTTTCTTTGACTATAAGCTGGTGAAGGTCCCTTTTAGTACTTGTATATTAATATACAAGTACTAAAAGGGACCTTGCAATTGCGTGGAATTTTCCCTTGGATGTAATCTATATCGTGAGTTGTAATCACAAATAATTTTAAATTAGTTTATCATAAACTACTTTTAATAAAAGCGACGGTAAATATCCACTTTGTTGTCGAAAAATTCTATTGCGTTACCCTAAATTCCATTGCGTAACCATAAGGTAACATAGTGTACTCGGTAACGCAGTGGACAAAGTTTTGTAAAACCATCTTTAAAAAATAATAATAAGACATTATAGTCATTAATTACTCTCAATGAGCTTTGGTGCCCTAAAATAAACATAATCATGAAAAATAGTATTTTTTCTTACCTTATTTTTATTATTTTTTTTGAATAACTTAGCGGACAAACAATTATTACATTCGCGTTACCCGCACCTGTTTCAACCAATTACTTCTTCCTGATTAAATAAATAAATTCAGCTGGTTAATGTGTACGTCCGAACATCATTTGTAGATGTAAGTGCCAAAAAAGTTGCCATATATATGTTTTTTTTAATATTCTATCGGTAACGCGACGGACGTAACGCAACGGAAAAAATGTCTGGGACATGAGTCAAATTTAAATAAAAGTAGATTAAAATTAATTATTTTATATATAAATTGTTTACTGTATTAACTAAGGATGTTATGGATTGCTATAAAGCAACACAAAGTTCTGGTTATTCAATATTAAAAAAAAACATGTATGTAAGTTTTATAAAACGCTAATGGGACATTCAAAAATGTGTGTTTCACAAGTTTCAAAATTAAAAAAAAAATTATTCTGAAATAACTAAACAAAAATTTTCTGAAAGAGTTTACTAAGGGCTTGTTAGGCTTTCACTTGGTTGTTAAATCAATAAAATCCGATAATTTTTAACAAAGTTATTCAAACTTACGGACAGCGGAAGGCGGGTGTTTTTTGAAAACGACCCATTCATTCATGTTTAATAATATTATTCCAAATTATTATAACAAATGAAAAAAAAAATTGTTAAAAAACAGTTCAGGTCTACCAAACCATCGTCCTCAAATTTTCTTTATTTTTGTAGTTGGCAGGATTGGGTCTGATAGCTATAGGAGGGTTCGAATTTTACGAATATGAAGAGGCTATTCCAGCCGATTTCCAAAGTCTCCAGTTGGCTCCTATTTTTATAATTGTTGTGGGATCGATCATATTCTTAATTTCTATCATTGGATTGTGCGGGGGTTGTAAGGAAAATACCTGTATGCTTTCTACAGTAAGTATGACGTAAATTCTCTACATTTTATTCTCATTTTTCATTAATAATATTTTCTAAAATAACCTTTTTTAGTACGTAGTATTATTATTGGGCATCTTTATTGTTCAAGTTGGATTTGGTATTTACACTTTTATGGAAATTAATAGTGACTACCAACTACAACATGCTATTACAAAACAATTGGATATTACATACAAAAATGACAAAGATCACGAATTTAAAAACATGATAGAAAAAGAGGTTTTAATTTTTATTATATAAATAAACCGTATTAAAAACTTTATGTTTTAGTTACAATGCTGTATTATATATTATGACGATAATTATGACGGATTTATAACATCTGCACTTGGTAGGCCAATTTGTATAAATCCAATTATACTAACGTGTGATAAAGCAATTTTCAATTTAATCCGTACATCGTTTCAAAATCTTGCGTACATTCTTTTAGGAATTTTGATAACTGAGGTAAGCATTTTAATTATTTGTAAATAATGCAACACAGAGAAAAATTTGTTTAATAATATTTTCTCCAATTTATTTAAAAGTTTTTGAATGCGACTGTGGTAGAAAGGAAAATGAAACTAAATTATTAATTTAGATACCTATGTTATCAGCGACCA